GCTGGCCACAGGCCACACTGCTCCCAGGGCTCCCTCCTTTCCTGCTGTGACACAGACTGTCTTAAAGGTTCTGGAACCTCGAAGGGAAAGGAACCGCAACCAGGAAGTCTGCACCAGCCACAGATGCCTGAGTCCCAGCCCGGGGCCTGGCCCTGACTTCCCCCGGGGAGAGGGCAGGCTCCGCAGTCAGCCGTGTTAGAGTCCCCTGATGGAACGGGGGCTCTCAGTGGCTTCCTGAGAACGGAGCAGCAGCCCACCTAGGAAACAGAAGACACTCTGAAGGGTGGTGCAAAATGGAAGGCTTTTATAGACGCAAAGAGGGCGGGACTAAGGAGTTAAACGTGGATTGTTTCAGACCAGGACGCCTTCCTTCCCTTAGGGGAGGGCAGGAGTTTTACCTGGAAGATTACCTCACTAATGCGGATCAGGAAGTTCGAAACTGGCTTAAAATGTCACTCCTAGAGAGGCTGAAACTGCAAATAGGTATTAAATCTAGTTTTAGGGGAGGGGGAGGGGGTCAATGAGGGAAAATAAGGGGGACATTTGTCATACTTTCAACAATAAAGGTAATTTTTTTTTTTTTAATTTAGGTTTGGCCTGGTCGGCATGGCTCAGGAGTTGATCGCTGACCTCTGAATTAGGAGGTCCCAGTTTTATTCCCAGTCAGGACTCATTCCCCAGTGTGGGGCATGCAGGAGGCAGCTAATCAATGATTCTTTCTCATCGTGGATGTTTCTCTTTCTCTCTCTCTCCATCTCCTATCCTCTCTGAAATAAAAAATATTTTTTAAAATCTGGTTTTGGTATCATGGGCTTTTAGCACGTGTGAAGTCATTTTTGGCCTGTGGTTCTCTCTTTATTGTTTATTTATTTGTTTGTTTTTGTTGTTGTTTCAGGTTTTTTTTAAAGTCTTTTTCTTAATCCTCTTTTTCAATGGATATTTTTTCCACTGATTTTTTTTTTTTAAGTGAGAGAGAAATATCGCCGTGAGACAGACACATGGGTAGGTTGCCTCCCACTTATGCTCCAACGGGGGCCGGGAACTGAACCTGCAGCCTAGGCACGCTTGGGCTGATGCTCTAACACTGAGCAACACCAGCCAGGCCGTGATTCTCTCTTGAGCAGTGGTTCTCAACAATGGCTGCCCAATATCCATGTCCACCAGAAGGCATGTTAAAATGTTCCTTGCAGCTTTATTTATAATGAAGAAATAACTTTATTACCCTAGAAATAACTTAGATGCCTATCAACTGATAAATAGATTGAGGTATATCTATACAGTGGAGTACCACTCAGCAATACAAAGTAGCAAAGAGTCCGGCTGGTGTAGCTCAGTGGTCAAGCATTGACCCAAGAACCAAGAGATCACTGGTTTAATTTCCAGTCAGGGTCCATGCCTGGGTTGCAGTAGGGGACATGCAGGAGGCAGCCGATCAATGATGTTTCTTTTTCATTGATGTTTCTATCTATCTCTCTACCTTCTTCTCTCCCTAAAAATCAATAAGAACATATGTTGTTGTTTTTTTAAATATATAATATATTTTATTGATTTTTTTACAGAGAGGAAGAGAGAGGTATAGAAAGTTAGAAACATCGATGAGAATCATCGATCAGCTGCCTCTTGCACACCCCCTACTGGGGATGTGCCAGCAACCAAATTACATTACCACTGAGCCAAACCGGTTTCGGCAGAACATATGCTTTTTTAAAGTAGCAAAGAATTGATGCCTATGACATGGATTTTCACAGACCTAATTATGGAGAAGAGAGGTGAGGGGGTAAGAGGGGCAGGGGGAATAGCCAGACGCAAACACACCAGCGAGCGTATATCCTCTCTCTTGATCTGGAGGGTAGTTCACAAGGACTTACATAAACACCCGTGAAAACACATAGAGTTGTAATTTTAAGATACTTGCACTTTAGTGCATGTTTATTACATGCAGTATTATATGTATATCAAGAAAAATTAAAAAATAGAATACCTGGGCCTTAGCCAGCTTTGGTCAGTGGATATAGCATCGGCCTGAGGACTAAAGGGTTCCAGGTTCGATTCTGGTCAAGGGCACATACCTGTGTTGTGGGCTCCATCTCCAGCAGGAGGCAGTCGATCAATGGTTCTCATTATTGATGTTTCTGTCTCTCTCTCCCTCTCTCTTTCTCTCTGAAATCAACAAAAAGAAAAGAATGAAAAAAAAAAAAAAAAAAGTAGAATGCCTGGGCCTCACCCCCAGAATGCCTGCCTTAATGGATCTTGGGTGAGGCCTAGACGAATGGACGTTTAAAAGCCTCCAAGGGATTCTAATGAGCAGCAGAGATGAGACCAAACCCAGGAGAGCGGAAGCCTCTCACCGGGTTCTGGCCCAGCAGGAAAACCCTGAGGGGCAGAGGAGGCAGCGGGGGGCGCAGGCTCTGCAGTCACAGCCCAGGTCCTCATTTCTTACCTCAGTGACCTTGGGCAAGCTCATCTATTTCTCTAAGCATAAATGTTTGTTTGTTTGTTTGTTTGTGTGTGTGTGTGTGTGTGTGTGAGTAACACATGGCAGGTGATAAACCGATATTTCATGCACAATATAGGGTGGAAGTGATAAAAACGAGGCTGATCTTTATAAAGGTAATCTCTTTACAACAGACATCTGATCCTGTCACTACTGCTGAAATCTTTTTGTGGCTTTTCATTGCATTACACACACACACACACACACACACACACACACACACACATATATATATATATATATATATATATATATATATATATATTGATTTCAGAGAGGGAGAGAGGAGACATCAATGATGAAAGAGAATTGATTGGCTGCCTCCTGCAAGCTCTATACTGGGGATCAAGCCCGCAACCAGGCATGTGCCCTGACAGGGAATTGAACTGTGATCCCCTGGTTCTTAGGTTGACGCTCAACCACTGAGCCACGCCAGCTGGGTTTCATTGCACTTTGGATAAAATCCTAACTCCTTCCTGAGACCGCTGGCGTGTCTCAGTCGCCTCGTGGGCCTTGTCCGGGCCACGCTGGTTGCCTTTCATTTGGAGCCTCCCCTGAAGCTAGGCCTTTCCTCAGGGAGCTGTTCCCCCAGCCAGTTCGCAGCCCAGGCTTGGCTCCTCCATAGCTTTCAGCGGACAAGTCACCTCCTGCTCCCCATCACGCTCTGTCTCCACAAAAATATATTACAATACTATTTTTACGTTCTATGAAAATTTTTGTTGCTCCATATAGACCAAATTTTTAATCAAGAACTTCCCCCCCACCCCCCAATCAATGGTGTCCCGTTTTACCAATGTTAAAATCTGGTCCCCTTAATTTACTTGGGTGTATATGAGTTTGGAAGAATATATACAAAATGTTCATCGTGATTATTTTTGGTTGATAAGATTGTTTTTATTTTTATTTTTATTTTTAAAATAAATCTTATTGCTCAGATTATTACAATTATTTCTCCTTTTTCCCCTCATAGCTCCCTTCCACCTGGTCTCCACCCCACCCTCTGCCCTTATCCCCCACCCCATTGTCCTCATCATACGTGTACGATTTTAACCCAGTCTCTTTCTGCACCCCCACACCCCTTTCCCCCTGATAATTATCAATCCATTCCCTTTCTTTGCCCCTGATTCTATTATATTCACCAGTTTATTCTGTTACTCAGATTTTTAATTCACTAGATCTTCTTTCTCTTCTTAAATAATACCTTTCAGCATTTCATATAATACTGGTTTGGTGGTGATGAGCTCCTTTGACTTTTTCTTATCTGTGAAGCTCTTTATCTGCCCTTCAATTCTGAATATCAGCTTTGCTGGATACAGTAATCTTGGTTGTGATAGGATTATTTTTAATAAGTCTTTTATTATTATTATTTTGCATGTTCTCTCTTTTCCTGCTCAAAGTGCATGCCTTACTTGCATGATATTAAATTGGATTATTGCTGGGAATAAAATAGCGTGTTTCAAAGGAGCCTGCCCAAGCAGAAAACGGACCATTTCCTGACAAACCACGTAGGCTCCCGGCGGAGTTGTCAGGGTTTGCAGCTGCCGAGCCGCCAGCCTCTCAGGCACCGTCGAGGCCACCCCAGGCTGTGCGCGGGTCCTGACCGGTGGGCGGGGCACGCCGGCCCGGAAGAGACGTCGCGCAGCGCCGCGCATGCCCTTTCCTTTCTAGCTCGGTCCCGGGACGCAGCAGCCGCCGAGGTGAGTTCCTGTGGAGTGCAGGCTCCTATCGGCCTCCATCCTGGCCTTGTCGCCGCCGTAGTCGTTGCTCTTCCCCGGAGTTGGGGCGAGGGGACCCCTATCCCACTGCACGCTCGCTCATTTCTGAGTAGTGAGAGGTCAGGGGCACACTCGGGGGCGGGGGGGGGGGGGGTAGTGGGACGCTGTTCGCGGAGGTCGGCGTCCCGATGGCGGAGGGCCGAGGAGGGAAGGATGAAGCCCTTGCGTGGCGGTGTCTGTGGGCGAGGCTAGGAGGACTGTACCCCGCTTGCACACTTCCTTTGGGGAAGAACTCCTCACCCCGGTTGCCTCTTTGCTTGGCCCTGCGACTCCAGTTTTGGGGGAGAGGAGTAGGAGATGAGGGTGCGAAGGCCTTAGCCCTTCGGTTGCGGGTCAGCGGCCCGTCGTGAGAAAAAGACGCTTCTCGCGTCCCTGAGGTACAGCCACGCCGCGCGCGCCTTGGCACAGTTGTTGATGGTCCCCAGATACTCATAGAATGCCGAGTCTGCGCCCCATTATTCCTTTATGGTTGTGAGTGAAAGTTTGAAGCGAATGTGTACCCCGTTTTGTTTTAATGCCTTGGTAACTTGTTTCTCACCTTAGTTGTTTTCGGGGCTGGAGGTGGGAGCTGGTAACTGGTGGCTGTCGATCTACAGTTTGAATCCCTCCTTCCTGCGTGTTTTGTGTGCGAGATTCCAGTCCATTGGACAGTGTGGTCGTTTGTGGGTCTTGAACTCTGTTCCTGACCCCTGGGCACATTGCTTAGAGGTGCTCTTACTTTCTTCCCGTAGATGTTGATGCCCAAGAAGAACCGGATCGCCATCTACGAGCTCCTCTTTAAGGAGGGGGTGATGGTGGCCAAGAAGGACGTGCACATGCCGAAGCACCCCGAGCTGGCAGACAAGAACGTGCCCAACCTCCACGTCATGAAGGCCATGCAGGTAGCCGGCCGGGAGGGGTTTTCCGGCTGCTCAAGGCAAATGCCGAGGAGAGGCCAGGACAGCCCGGGCTTCTCGCTGCCTTGACGGCCGTGAGATAGATGCACCTGAGAACTTGTCTACTGCGCAGCCCACCCTCCTCTGCACCCATTTCCATTCTAAGCCTCTGGTTAGGTCTCAACCCTGGTTTTCTGTCCTGCAGTCTCTCAAGTCCCGGGGCTACGTGAAGGAGCAGTTTGCTTGGAGACACTTCTACTGGTACCTGACCAACGAGGGCATCCAGTACCTCCGCGATTACCTCCACCTGCCCCCTGAGATAGTGCCCGCCACGCTGCGCCGCAGCCGGCCTGAGACTGGCCGCCCAAGGCCCAAAGGTATGGTGCCCATGTAAATGCCTCCAACGGCCTGCTCTGCACCAGCTCTTCCTGGGAGCCGTACATGGGAAACGGGGCGGGGGAGGGGGGGGGGTTGGGGAGCTGGGGATTCTTCCATTCTCTGGGTAGAGAGAATACGCAAAGGGGTCTTATAATCCACCATTGGTGTCAGCTCTAGAGGGCTCTGGCATGCAGGTCAAGTCCCGAAGCCTTTGTCCCTTAGGATGAGGCTTGTAATGGATCTGGACTCGGGCCCTCGGGTTATCCCAAGAGACGGCATTCACATAGAATGTTAGTCGGTGACCAGACCTGTGTGGTAGACCATTGAGTGACCTTTTCCGGAAAATCACCGTGTGAATGTTTATGCTTCATGTGTGGGTGTGGGGTGGGGGGCTCAAGGTCATGTTTTTGCCCGGGGTTGTGATTTCCTCTTTGCATTCTGAAAAACTTGTCACGAGAACTTTAAGCTTGGGTGACGATGGAGGTCCTACACACGATGGCCGTGGCTCCCAGGTTCCGCTGGAGACTCCATGGGGCTCAGGAATCTTGGTTTCACAGATGCTCCAAGGGGCCCTGGTGGCTGCGTGGGGCTGTGTATCTGGAGTGGAAGTCCTACACTGCATCTAGGAGCCCGTTGTCTGTGCCCTTTATTTTAGCCACTCACTTTAGGTTCACTTTTATGTCTTGTACATTAAAGAATTCCCGGCCAAGGGCATATGCCTGGGTTGTAGGTTCAATTCCCAGCTCCAGTCAGGGTGCATGTAGGACGCAACCAATGGATGTCTCTCTCACATTGAGATTTTTCCCTTTTCCTCCCCTTCCCTCCCTTCTACTCTCTAAAAATCAATAGAAAAAAATATCCTCAGGTAAGCCCCCCCCACACACCCCCAAAAAAAGTGTTTTAACTATATGGACTCTAAGGTAACTGGATAGAGAGAATACTAAATTAACCTTCAGTGTTTTTAAAGTGCCTTTTAAAATCTGTCTTAATGTATCCACAGCATAGAGGATGGGAGGGCGGGGACTGAAGGATTCTCGGTGGCAGCTTTATTTATATACTTCCTATTGGAGGTGGGGCTTTCCTCTGCGATGCCTCCTTTGTATGGGGAGTTTCCACTTCAGAGATGGATCAAGTTAAAAATGTTAGCTATTGGAAAGTTTGTAGAAATAGCTGAATTTCTGAATTTGCCAAGTAATTGGAAAGTGTGTTTGTATTGAAAAATAAAATAGAAAGCAATCCTTTTGCAGATGTGTGGCATTTCAATCTAGATGGGTTTTCCCAGGCCTTCAAGGAGCCACAATGTCAAGGACAAGTTTTTCTAGGTGTAGGAGTTCCTATTCCCACTAACTCGTTACAGTGACTAAGATGTTCTCAGGTGAGACTTGGAGAACAGTTCCAGGTTTCTTGGCCTGAAGGGAACCCATCGCCCATGTTCACCGTGTGGTTTACTTGTGTAGGTCTGGAGGGCGAGCGACCTGCAAGACTCACACGAGGGGAAGCCGACAGAGACACCTACAGACGGAGTGCTGTGCCCCGTGAGTAACGGTCGGCTGTGTGGGGGTGCGAGGGTAGAATCTGGATTCTCCGTCAGCCCTTGAAGATGCCAGAGAGACCAGAAAGTCTTGGTTTCATTCTCCGGCTGGGGTCCTTGGTGCTTCTTGCCTTACCCAGGGGTTTGATGGATAGGGATTGGGGGAAACATCCTTTGAGTGAGGGACCGACTTAGGTTGAAAACCTTTAACGAGAGCAAACTGAAAACTTTCAGCAAAGCAACATGGTTTTATGTTGTGGTTGTGTTCCTGTGTTGTAAACTCCTTAAAGGAAGGGTCCGCTCAAATTACCTTTGTTGTTTTCTTATTGCAAAAAATAGTGTAAAGTTTTGTTTTGTTATATTTTAAATATTTATTAAACTAATTAGGGTGACAGTGGTCAAATGAACATACAGGTTTCAGGTGTGGGTTTTTATGTTACAAGAAATGTATATTGCAGCGTGTACCCATCACCCAAAGTCAAATCTTCTGTCGCCTTATATTAGGACGTCTTTCTGTAAAATCTTGTTTTAAATAGCAAGTATTAGCATCGACTTGGAATAGCAGATGTTTGTTCATTCAATACATAACAAAAAGGCCCATCTCTCATTGAACTTGCATTTGAGTGATAGATGGAGAAGCAAAAATAAGTAACATAATATGTCCCAATGATGTGGATGCTACAGGAAAGTTAAAGTGTGTGTGTAATTTTCAATAATGTTGCAGAGTGAGATTTAAGCAAACACCAGATGGATGAGGGGGGGAGCCAGCCAGTGGCTACCTGGGGAAGGCATCTGGCTTGTCTGAATGACCGGACAGTTGGAGAATCTGATAAGGATGTGGGTCTTATGGTCTGTAGGCTGAGAGGACTTGGGATTTTACTCTTGGGTAGGATGGGGAGCTATTGGTGTTTGCAGAGGAGTGGTAGGAAGAATCACTGTCTTTGTTGCAGAAATAAAATTGAGTTAGAAAAACAAGGTATAAAAGGGAATATTTACTGACTTTTCACTCTTACCTGTCTCTAGTTGTAGTTCCTGATTAAATGAGCACTTGACCTGAATACCTTACAGCAGTGTTTCCCAAACTTCTCTCATGATGAGAATCATGTGGTGGAGTTGTTAAACTAGAATTTTTGGGAACATATAGATAAAATTGTATACTTAGTGCTCTTATACAATTTTACCTATATGTTCCCAGAAATTCTAGTTTAGCACTTCTTAGTTGGGATTCAGGAATCTGTAGTTTAACAACTCACCGGGTGATTCTCATCATGAGAGAAGTTTGGGAAACACTGCCTTACAGGATAGTAGTAATGAACTCCTCTGGCACACCTGCTCTCCGTTTAGAGAAAGTGGTTGCTCCTACAGAAGTCACACCACATGGGAAGTCAGTCAGGGAATGGTGCTCCAGGGGGTGTGATGGTTGGGACCAAGCCTCAGGGTGGGTCCTCAGGTTTAGGGGAGTGAGCATTTCAGGCAAGAGGTGAGCATGAACAAAGATATGGAGATGGAGAAGACACTGGCTTTACTGGTCAAAGGGGCAGGGGAGTGAGCAGGCAGGAGCCTGTGGTGGATGTGGTCTGAAGTGCGCCAAAGGGACCCCAATTTGTACAAGATTTTCTGAAACCATACTCACTGTTGACTCTGCAGCCCCACCCCTGCAGTGTGGACTATAAAATTTCCCAGTGACCACACTTAGAGCAAATGGAATGTTCATTTTTTAAGTTTTATTTTATTTATTTTTTAAAATATATATTTTATTTATTTTGTACAGAGAGGAAGGGAGAGAGAGAGAGAGAGTTAGAAACATCAATGAGAAAGAGTCATCAATCAGCTGCCTCTTGCACATCCCCTACTGGGGATATGCCCGTAACCAAGGTACATGCCCTTTACCGGAATCGAACCCGGGACCTTTCAGTCCACAGGCCGACGCTCTATCCATTGAGCCAAACGGTTTTGGCTAAATTTTATTTTTATTGTTAAAAGTATTATAATGGCTCAGTAGATGGAGTGTTGGCCTTTGGACTGAGGGGTCCCGGTTCAGTTTCAGTAAGGGCACATGCCCGGGTTGCAGGGTCGATCAGTAGAGGGCATGCATGAGACAGCCAATCAATGATTCTCATGACTGATGTTTCTGTCTCTCCTCCTTTCCTCTCTGAACTCAATGGAGGGGAAAGTATTAGTGTCCCCTCTTTCTGTCCCATCCCCCCCATTGACCTCCACCCCACTGAATTAATTTTTCAACCCAGATAAATATTAATGAGGTTTTACATGCTCTTAAGTCTTAAAACCTGATAAGTATTGTATACAAACCTCAATTTGGACTAGTGGCTGCTGGACAGGACAGCATGAGATCTTTCGTCTTGCTTCTTTCCCATGGTCATAATAAAGTTGTTTTATGCTTTTGAGGGCCATTGTGCTCTTTATCTTTTTAGTTCTTCCTTTATTGAGTTCCCTTTGTAAGCTAGGTGCTAATCTGAAGCATGTAGTGATGGGAAGTGGCAGTCAGGGCAGCCTTCCTGGAGGAGGCAATAAATAGTTTGGACTGTGTTTTGAAGGGTGACTTAAGGAAGGCTGCTCTGGGAGAGAGGGGGGGCAAAGTGGCTCAGAAGGTGTAGTTCACTTGTATGTCATGGGGTCTGTTTGCTGACTTCCCTGCAAGCTTGGGTTGGGTGACTTGTCTGCAGTAGATGGGACCATGTGATGAATCTGAACTGGTGTTTCTCGTTCCAGCTGGTGCTGACAAGAAAGCTGAGGCCGGGGCTGGGTCAGCAACCGAATTCCAGTTTGTGAGTATTCGTTCCCCCGTTTGTTCTCCATGAGCAGTCACTGTATGGCCTCAGCCCTGTGGGTCCCACCCCTCATCTCCCCCCAAACCCCCCCTCCCCCCCAAAAAATCACACAAATTCCAGATAAGGTTTTTACATTAAGACAGATGGAAATTTTTTTTTAATTGATTTTTTACAGAGAGGAAGGGAGAGATATAGAAAGCTAGAAATGTCGAGAGAGAAACATCGACCAGCTGCCTCTTGCACACTCCCTACTGGGGATGTGCCCGCAACCAATGTACATGCCCTTGCCCAGAATCGAACCTGGGACCTTTCAGTCCGCAGACCGACGCTCTACGACTGAGCCAAACCGGTTGCGGCTGGAAATTTTTTTAAATATATAGATTATTGCAATGAGTCTCACAAATCAATACTACATGTAGCATAGTGGTCTTTTCTATTTCTTTTATAATGACCGTAATCCCTTTAGTTTCACAAACGAAATGTAAGGTTGAGAATCTATCACTGGAGATTAAGAGGGCTCTGGAACCAAATCCTCTATTTTCCTTAAGAAGTGTGATCTGTGTCCCAGTTTCTCCCCTATAAAATAGAGTGATGATTGTAGCTATCTCAAGATGGTTGTGAGATTAGGTAATCCAGGTCAGGTGCTTGTGTGGGGGCTGGGCTATCACTGGAGCAGCAGCTGCCCTGTAGCACAGTGAAAAAAAAAGGGATGGTGGTGGCAGACACAAGATCTTGTCCCGTACTATGGCTTCTATGTGTGTGTATGTGAGCACACTCTTTATGGTTGTCCATTCCCATTTTACAAATGAGGAAACAGCCTGAAAAGTGAATGTGGCCCTACCGCCAATAGGGCAAGGCTGGGGCTTAGGACTGCACTCTCTTTGGGATGGTGCAGAGGCCTGCTGTTCCGGCTTACTGCTAACGCAGTGTCCTGTGCTTTCTCTTACAGAGAGGCGGATTTGGTCGTGGACGTGGTCAGCCACCTCAGTAAAGTTGGACGGATTATTTTGTGTTGAATAAACTTGTGCTCAGAAAACCATGTTTTGTTTGAATTATGGAATGTAAATGGGCAAGACTGGATTGGTTTGGGGAGTTGTCTTATCCAGGGTGACGTCACTTGTTGCTGCAGGACTTGGCTTTGACTTGGCCTCTCTTTGTTCCAGCAGACACCTCCCTGCAGAGTCATGGCCAGTGTGGTTACCACTTTGGGAGGCTGTTAGAATGCGGGGCATCTTCACCAGACCAGCCATGCTGGCTCAGCTCCGTGTGGTGGGAAAGTTGCTATTTTGTTGGTCTTCGAACTGAGATTCTGTGCCTATTTGTGAATATCAAGTGCTGGGGAGGTGGGATGTAAGGAAAACCAGGGGAATACTGTTCTAAAATCCTTCAGAGTCTTGACTAACAGGCGGAAGAAACTACAGGCATGGTGTTCAGGTCTACAATTTACTAATCAACCTTAAAGGCTAAAGGATTTACATGTCAAAGAGTACAAGAGGGGGTGTATTGTCCAGTTTTCCTGGAGCCTTAGAGGTGACAGAAGGGTGTTGAGAATTTTCCCTTGGGGCCAAGCAGGGTTTTGGTACAGGTACCAGAGGGTTTGATGGAGCCCTGGCCAAGTGGCTCAGCGCATCACCTTGATTTGCCAAAGTTGTCATGCCGACCATAAAAGTCGGGGCATATAAAGAATTAACCAATGAAATGTAAGTGGAACAAAATGTGGCTCAGCACATCACCTTGATTTGCCAAAGTTGTGATGCCGACCATAAAAGTCGGGGCATATAAAGAATTAACCAATGAAATGTAAGTGGAACAAAAAATGACGGGACTATTTCTGAGGTTCTGTGCAGTGTCAGGAGGGGTGGCGAATGTGCAGTCTGATGAGCTTGGACAAGCACAGACCGGTTTGCTGCCTGATTTGCCTTTGCTTTAACTTGCAGACAAACCCTGACTAGATGGGTACAGTATAATGGGGGTCAAAGCTTGTAAGGCAGGAGCTCTGGCCTGGCAGCTGAAATGGGACTTGGGGGTTATATTTGTGTGGTACAGTGGTACACAGGTGGTTTTGTCTCAGTAGCCACCTATTTCAGTCTTCATAGACATTTGTAATTTAGACCACAAGGTGGCAGCCAAAGGCAACACCAATTGTGCACTTAAACTTGGCCCTGGGAGGTGTGCTTTGGAATCACCACCAGTGAGCAGAAGCTTGCTTTGGCAGAAAGGTTGTGTTTGGGGAAGCTGTTTCACTGCTGCCTTGCCAAAGATTGCTTTTTATCCAATTTTTCTGCTGGCTCCAGTGATGGCAAGTGGTTTGCCGGTGTCCACACGCCTTGATTGTTTAACCTGGATTCCATGTGAAATGTTAGCTCCTGGTCTTTCTGTTTCACTGAGGCCAGCGAGCAAGTGTATGTGTTTTCTCATAGCCTTGGTGACTTTCTGGTATTAAAGCATCTCTTTTTCAATGAGGGCTCTTTGCCAACCGCTTCCCTCGTGATTTCAATTAGTTCCAGAATGTGTTCTTCAAGATCTCCCATGGACACTGGGGAAACCTGGAGAATACAAAGCAGAGGCAGAGCCTGTGGGTAAAAACATGCAGATGGTGGTGGCTCTGTGGTGGCTCTTGCTGCCTGCTAGCCCTTCCTCACATTTTGGTAGATTGTGTGGCCCTGCCAATCAATAATCATTAATTAAAACTGTTCAGGGACCAGTACCAGTATGTCCCCTGGGAGACAAGCCTCGAAATTGGCCTTTAAGAACCTCACGGTCTAGTTAGGAAAACAAAACCAAAGTTATACCTTGAGCCCATGCCAAGTACTGCGTGGAGTATCATGTCCAGGCTGAATTCTAAGGAAGGGCAAGGCAGGGGCCATGAGGGAAGGCTGAAGTGAGGAACTGGAGGGTGAGACAAGTCGGCATCTTAAAGAGGTTTCCTTCAAAGTGGTATTGAGTTGTGAAACATGCCAGAAATGAAAGTTGGTTTTGTTTTTTGTGTGTGTTTGTGTTTTTTTAAATAAATATATTTTT